AGACGCCACCACCTTCTCTACAACCTTCCCCACAAAGGGGAGGTTGGAGACGGGACGAAAGTTCTTCAAAACAGCTGGGTCCAGGGAAGGCTTCTTGAGGAGGGGCCTCACCACCGCTTCCTTTAAAGGTTGCGGGAAAGACCCCTCCAACAAGGAGGCGTTGATTATCGCCTGGAGCCAGCCTCGTGTCACCTCCCTACTGGCAGAAACCAGCCAGGAGGGGCACGGGTCCAATAAACAGGTGGCGGCATTCATTGCCCTCACGGCCTTGTCCACTTCATCAGGGGTCACAGGCTCAAACTCGCTCCAGATAACATGACTAAGACCAGCCCCCTGGCAACTCGGCTGGCACTGCCCAGTCGGAGTCCAGGTCTCTCTGAATCTGAGCGATTTTGTCCGACAGAAACTGAACAAACTCCTCAGCTCTCCCCTGCAAGGGTTCCTCCGCCTCCTCCACTTTAAGAAGGGAGCGGGTCACCCTAAACAAGGCGGCCGGGCGAGATTCTGCGGACGCAATAAGTGCGGAAAAGTGAACACGCTTTGCCACCCTTATCGCCACTAAATAAGTCCTAAGATAGGCTCTTAATAGTGATCAGTCAGATTCAGAGTTACTGGCCCTCCAACGTCGCTCTAGACGTCTCTTGTGGCGCTTCATCTCCCGGAGCTCCTCAGTAAACCAAGGGGCCCTCCGGGGACCACCACCACAGAGAGGTCGCAAAGGCGCAATTCGGTCCAGGGCCCCGGATGCCGCCTCATTCCAGGCCGCAACCAGGGACCCGGACGAGTTGTGGACAAGGGAGTCAGGTATTTCCCCAAGCTCCTCCTGGAACCGATCTGGGTCCATTAGGCACCTGGGGCGGAACCACCTAGTCGGCTCCCTCTCCCTGCGATGGGGGAGTGATGCTCTGAAGTCCAGCCTCAATAGGAAATGATCTGTCCATGACAAGGGCGAGATCTCTATTCCCCTTAATTCCAGATCATGTCTCCATTGCCCCGAGAGAAACACAAGGTCGAGTGTGTGACCACCCCTATGAGTTGGGTCCTGAATTACCTGGGTCAGGTCCATGGTTGCCGTGGAAGCCATGAACTCCTGCGCCGCCTCTGAGCGATCGCTGAGTGATGGCAGATTAAAGTCCCCCAGTACTATAAGTCTGGGGAACTCCACCGCCAACCCGGCTACTGACTCCAGCAACGCAGGCAGGGCTGTTTCAACGCAGCTGGGAGGTAGTACGTCAGCAGCAAGCCCAACTGAACCCGTGAACCCAACTTCAATAGGAGGGACTCACACCCAACAACCTCCGGGGCAGGAATCCCACGAGGGCTCAAGGACTTCCGAGCGATGACTGCCACTCCCCCACCCCTGCCCTGATGTCGAGGCTGATGAAGCACCACAAACCCGTCCGGCACATCTCCGAGAGGGAAACACCCCCCTCAGGGCCCAGCCAGGTTTCGGTTATACATGCCAGGTCCGCCCCGCTGTCCAATATTAAATCACGGACAAGGGGGGCTTTGCTGACAACGGACCTGGCATTAAGCAACAGCAGCCTGCAATCAGGGCCCTGTACTCCCCTGTCACCAGTACTACAGGATGAGCCTTTTGAGGGGCCAGAACAAGGAATCGCTCTAACATAGCGAGTTCTCGTTCCCCAAAGATGGCCTGCCCCTCTGCTCCCGCCATATCTGCCCATCCCAGTCATGACCGGGATGCTCCAACCTTCTCCCCTCCCCGGAATACCTCCACCCTCACCAGCCTTCTCCCTTCCTGACCGGACTCGCTTTCCATACAAACCAAGCCCAAGGGTAAGTCCTGCCCCCCCTACTTTTGCTATTGCACTCAGCAGAAGGGGTACCAGGCTCCACCCCCGACTCCACCATTCTCATACCCCAAACACTCAATATACATTCACACTCAATTTATATACATAAAAAGTAAAAAAATTCCGCATTCATACACCCTAAATACAATAATAAATTTATATATAACCGGGCCACCATTCATCTACATGCATACTCACACCCACAGCAAACATTCTCTAAAAAAAAATAGTATTGCCCCTCTGTGTCCCAGGCTGGTCCAATGTGGCCGGCTAGATGATCATTAAGTACTTGTCTTGGGGCAGACCGTACTTGGCCTTATGCTCCTCAAAGAGCTGGGTCAACTTCTCCAAGTTGTTACTGGCCGTCACCGCAACGGCGGCAATTGCTGCCAAGGCAACGGGCGAAGTCACGCGGGGGACCCAGATCACTGGAGAAGGCCCCGCCGCGGAACCTGAGGAAAACGACGAGGCAGTGGCGGCAATGATAGCGGAGGAGGAAAAGGAAGCCACACACGGGGCAGCGAAGGTTGGCTGAGCGCCGGGCCGGGTTGCCCAGGCGGGCTGCTGCGGCGAGGCCTGCCGCCACGGGGGGGGGGCTGTGGCTGCTGGTGGAGCAGGCCGACACTCTCCAGCGGCAGAAGGTCAGGCTGTGGGTCACTGCCATGCGGGACGCGGGATGTGCCGGGCAGCGGGGACGAGGCGGTGGCGGCCTCCAGGCACAGCAAAGCGGCCGAGGCGAAAGACGAAAGCCCTACACAAACCCAGTTAGAAAACTGGCTAACCAGACCAAGCTTCAGTGGAAAGGAAGCCATGAGGGTAAGAACGCTGGGCTGGGCAGGGTAAGGCGGGGTAAGGCGGGGCAGCAGGGTAAGGCGAGGCAGCGGCAGCTGGAAAAGCCGCAGACGAGGCATGCCCTGCACTTCTCCCTGGCGAAGGTTGAGAAATTTTCCTCCGCCCGGGAAACTACCCGGCAGCTCCGTCGCCTGCCTCGCCCGAGCCCAGCCTCTTTCCAAACTCGTTGATAGGCCCGAACGCTGCCGCTAGCCCGGCTCTAGTCCCCGCCTATCTTCAGCTCCGGCGCAGCAATGGCGGCGTCGGCCTTGGCGCTTTCCTTCGTCCTTCAACCTTTGCAAGCTGCCGCGGGCTCCACGAGAAGGGCACGAACGGGCCTCTGTCGGTGGAAAGAAGCCGCGCCCGCCCCGCGCTGGGCTTGGGGACTCTCAGTCTTCAGAGACGAACAGAAGCGGCCGTTGCACCCAGGCGAAGTTCGGCTCCTCAGCCTGGAGTTTCGGCGTCCAAGGCAGAGCCGAACTGGATTAAAGGCCTGGAGACTGCAGGGCGAAGCGGGCACAGCTCCTCCACCGCACGCCGTCCCGTCCGGCGAGGCTGCTTTCGGGCAAGCCCGGCGCCGGCTGGTCCCTCGCTGGGGTTGGTGTCGGCGGAGGCTGCTGCCCGTGGGTTATTGATAGCAATAGAGCAAAGCAAGGTCTGAAGAATTTACACTTGAAAGGTTATATCATAATGCCTATTCGGGATTCCTTCCTCCAGAGTCCAATCGTCCGGTAGAAATCTGGCTAATCCATAGATGCTAGGTTGTTTTGAGAACCTAGTGATTTAGTACCCATCTCAAGGTCTCTCTCCATTTTGAGCCGGTCCCAGGCTCTGTTGTCTGGAGATAAGGCAGATGTTTTCTGGCCACATTCCTTTCTCACGAAAGGAAAACGTTTCAAAGAGGACAGAGCAGAGCCAGGCAAATTCATCCCCCAGGGAAGCAGTCTCCCTCCCACCAGAATGGCAGAACCCCAAAAGGAATACACAGGCAAAGCAATAATATGCAGGCAAATACATTGAAGGGGTATGACACTTGTTTAGAACCAGCGTGTCTATGACAATTAGCCATGGCCAACTCACTGCGGGACAACTCGCCATGGTCAACTTGCCACAGGACAACTCGTTGCTGGAGAAAAATTACACTAATAATGGTGGAAGAGAATCATTAAAGGATGCAAAAGGAGGGACAGTATAAAATGTAATGACAAAAAATTAAAATATTTTTTAATTTATTTTAAATAATTAAATAGAATTATTAAATTATTCTGGAGTGAGTTGTCCCATGGCAAGTTGGCTGTGGCGAGTTGTTTTGCGGCAAGTTGGCCATGGTGAATCGACTATGGCGAGCTGGCTGTCGCAAGTTGGCCATAACAAGTTGACTGTTCTGGCCATTCCCAGAACCAGTTATTCAATCTTTCTCTGTGCTTAACAATAATGGAGCTAAGAAAGAGGAGTTCAGTGTCATACCTTAAGGGAAAGAATCTGGATCACTCAGCCTGAAAATAAGGTTGAATGCCTTGTTGCATCAAGCTAAAAAGCATCTTTATAATACATGGTCAGTATTTTGTTTACTCTTTGAATTTTGTCCAGAGTCTCACTATTTTAAATAGTTTTAGACTAATGCTGAGCATATAAATATTAATATAGGTTTTTTTCCCTATAACAGTGATGGTGAATCTTTTAGAGACCGAGTGCCCAAAAACTGGCCCCGCCCCCACTCCACCACCCGCCCTACCCCTGCTCCGCCCCCCCATGCCTGGCTGCCATGTCCTTGGCTGCGCTGCTCCGCGAGGGCCATGCTCAGGGGCGACTCTCCTTCAGGGGGGCTGCTGGAGAGGAGGGGGCTGCGGGGGAGGAGAGGCTGGGGCAACGGCATGTGTGCCCACAGAAAGGGCTCCGAGTGCCGCCTCTGGCACCCATGCCATAGGTTTGTCATCACTGCCCTATAACATCTGTTCATTTTATTAATATGTGTGAAAAATTACATTTGTTAGGTCATTAAAACTTTTTCTTTCTCTTTTATCTTAAAAATGGAATAACAGTTATTCTTAAGTTCTATAGAATATTTTGCCAGCTAATACTAATCAGTCTTTTTTTAACAAAATTTGTTTGCCTAGCTATAACTCATATTAATTTATACTAAATGAAATTGATTTGATAAAAAAATTATATTAGAAATACATTTACAGACCACCATACTCTCTCTTTTTAAGGATAGTTTAAAATTTAAAAATAATGTGGAGTTATTCAGGGATGGCTTTCTCAGCTTTCACTGAATGTACAAACAAAATATCTTCCTGTATATTGTTTTTAAAGCTACATTTTGGCTAACATGTTACATTTTTCTTACAGCACAAACATTTGGAGAAGTTATTAAGTTAGATGTTGCTGAACCCCAGCGAAAAGTTTGGGATAATAGTTCTATTGATTCTGTACTGAAGAAACTTGGGGAAGCTGAATTACAGCTTGAAACTGATCTCATGGATAACCTAAATATTACCAGTGGTAAGATTAAATTAAAGCTTTCATTTGGAGTTTTGAAATCCATACAAGGCTTATATTTTTGAATTTTTTATGAACTGTAGTCAGCAGAACATTAAATCAATTGTGCGGTTTTACTTGATTATTAAGAGAATAAAACATCTAGCACAAAATTTCTCTGCTTTGGTCTTGTATAATAGCAACTCTTGCTTTTTTAAAGCTAAAAATCATTAGCTAATACAGGAGTTTTCAAGCTTTTTCAAGCAACAGAACCTATTTGTTACCATAATTTAAAAATTCTTGGAATCTGATCAAGAGTGATGTAACTTCTAAATGGAAGCCCCATCTTTCTACTACAGTATAACTTAGTGACTAAGATAAAGAAAAATCTTTCTGCAAGAAGTTGGGGAGGGGAGGCTTAATTTCTTGCTGAGAGTATTTTTCCCCATTATTTTAGTCCTACAGATTCCATTGAAATATTTGGATTTCATGGAACCTAATTTTAAAAAATTCTACCTTAATATATATATTTTATTTCTGGGTCAGGTAATGTTGCAAGATTATCTGGATCTCATTTTCAGGTGTGGACATGATTAATGTGGATAAGGTGTTATTTAACATGCTCATATTTCTAGGCTGGATGTGTGTCCGACCTTTGGAGATAGTGGAACTATGACTACCTGGATCTGGGAGATGTTAGTCCTTTGTTTCAGGCCTACACCTTGACTCTTCCTTAGACTCCCTTTCTTTTTTGGCCAACTTTCACAAGTATTATCTGTTAGAAGCTTAGCAAGAAAATGTTTGCAAAGCACCCTGTTAGATTGTTTATTATCAATGTTTTTGTTAAGTTTCTTATTGTGGATGTTTTTATTGCTATCCTTGTGTAAGCTCCTGCAAGTCTGTATAGACAGCATACAAATAAACAAATTGCATTAGCTAAGCCAGAGTTCTCCAACTTTCCTGGCCTTGTGGACCAGCAGGGGGAGGGGAAGAGGGAGAGGGGATGGTTTCATGCGAGTGGCCAGTAAACATGCACGTGCAGCTCCATTTGCATAAGTGGCATGCACATGCACCTGTCACTCACACAAATAGAGTACGCATGCACATGCTTGCCTGCTGCTTGTGTGTGGCGGTACATGCATGCCGCACTCACCCCTATTTCCACGGCCAGGTTGCAAACACCTCATAACCCAACTAGTGGGCTGTGGCCCAGAGATTGGGGACCCCTGTGCTAAGCAGTATGAGATACAGAATTCATAAATATACATAAAGATTTCTGGATGTTTACTTGACATAAAAGTAGTCCTTGACTTATCACTGCAATTGAGCCCAAAATTTCTGTTGCTAAGCAAGACAGTTGTTAAGTGATGTTTTGCCTCATTTTATGACTTTTCTTGCCATAGTTGTTAAGTGAAACACTGCAGTTGTTAAACTAGTAATGGTTGTTAAGTGAATCTGGCTGCTCCATTGATTTTGCTTGTCAGAAGGTTACAAAAGCTGATCACAAGGTATTAGACACTGCAACTGCTATAAAAGGTTTGATCATGTGACCATGGGAAGGCTGCAACAGTTGTAAATGTGAAAAATGGTTATAAGTCACTTTTTTCAGTGCCATTGTAACTTTGAATGTTCAATAAAAAAAATGTTTGTAAATTGACTACTATTGTAGTTTAAGAGATTGATGTTGACGTTTAAAACCTTAAATGGCTTAAAGTAGACATGTCAAACATAAGGCCCGAGGGCTGGATGCGGCCCGCGAAGTGGTTTCATATGACCCGCGAAGCCATCCTGGAAACAGTGAGGGAACGGCCCCAGCTGCCTTGGCCCTGGCCCAGGCTGGCCGGGAGCCAATGTACAATTTTGTGGTGGCAATCTGTGTTGAAATGCATTCAGTCTTAGCTCCACAAGGCCGTCTAGAAATAGTAAGGGACCAGCCCCTGCCGTGTTGGCCCGGCCTCCTGGATGCATGCTGGGGAGGTGTCACCCTTGTGAGGAATGAAGAAATGCACCATCACCTGCAAGTGGCCAGCGAATGGCCTGGCCTACTTCACATATCTGGTTTGATGGGCTCTGGGGGAGGGGTTTTGGCAGGCAGCGGGGCGCTCTCCTCACAGCGCCGAGAGGCTGAGCTGGGCGGTGCAAATCCAAAAAGAAACGCGAGGCCACCCAGCTCCCAGCCTGCCTGGTTTCAGCAGGCAGCGGGGCGCTCTCCTCACAGCACCAAGAGCTGAGCTGGGTGCGCGAATCTGATGAGAAATGCAATGCTACCTAGCTCCCAGCCTGCCCAGTTTCAGCAGGCAGCAAGGTGCAAAGTTGGCGAGCTTCGCACTGCCCGGCTCAACCTCAGTGCTGAGGAGAGTGCCCTGCTGCCTGCCGAAACCACGACCACCCAGTAGGCCACACCCAGTCCATCCACGCCCATCCAGTAGGCCACACCCACCTGGCCACACACCCCCGCTCCCCCAAGGGCAACCGCAATGCTGATGCTGCCCTCAATGAAATTGAGTTTGACATCCCTGGCTTAAAGCCTACTTGAGCAATCACTTTTTCAATCTTGAACCTGCCTGGGTTCTTAGATTGCAGGATAGGTCCTTTGGAAGATGTCCTCATTGCCAGAAGTTTAGCTATCTTAGCATGTGTGCTTGTGTGGGGGTACTTTTTTGCGTGGATCCAGGGATGAATGCTTTCCCCAAGAAATAGTGTAGCACACACCTCCCAGAATTTACATAAAAAGCAAAACTACTGTTTTTTTAAATAAAAATTTTATTAATTTTTAAATATTACAGTCTTTATTTTTGTCTGGGTTCAAATATTTAAGATTAACTTCTTCAATATAAATCTGTTCAATGCTACACAATCCAGTATTTTTTTCCTGATCCTCCTTTCTTCCCCATATTTTTTTCCATTTTCCCCTCATTACACCGTTACAACTTTTGGTACTGTTAATGTATACAAAGTTAAACATAAGCATCTTCATATTTTACTAAATACAAATAATATCAATTCATAAATCAGTAATGTCAATTCATTAATCAATATCCTCCTTTTCATGCTCTTATTAAGGTTTGATTTCCCATCAGTGTTTGAAATATCTTTATCAGTTATGATTTTCTCAATATTAATTACATTTATATAGCTAAAAGTTTTATTCAAATCAATTCTCTTCTTATCTTCATGTTTCCCAAATCCAAAAAAAGAGAAGAAAAAAAATGCTATCTTAATTCTAAATTATATCTTTCTTGATAAAAGTCTAATTATATCTAAGGGTCATCCGTTCTTTTAATCTTATTCAAACAAGTATTTAAACATATAATGCCCCCTCTAAAAGGTCAAATCTTCTGTTTTTTAAATGTGACTCTAGCTTTCTTTCTTTGCCAAGTCACTTTCCAAGTCAGGGCAATTAGATCGCCCAGGAATTTTCTTTCTATTTTTGTAAAAATTGCTTGGCACGAGGAAGACAATTTAGGTAGAGGGGGGAATTCTTCCCATTTATATTCCTTAAACAACTCCCAATTCCTTTCTCCCTCCATTTCTCTTTTCATTCCCTGTCTCCCAAGTTGTGACATTTTCCTTAATAGCTCTATATTCCCTTTTTAAAAATCTTCCTTGCCATCAGATATATTTTGCAGGCCTAAGGGGTAAAAGGTCTTTTGCATTTTCATTGTTATAGCTAAGTTTTGCAGTATTTTGTTTGTATATAGTCATTTATATTTCCCTTCTTTTATCTCTTCCATCTCTAAATCCATTTCCTCTGTTATGTGTTCTGATTTCTAGATTATTTGTTCATACTTTGTAGTCGTTATCTGGGAACTTTCTAGTTGTAGATTTAATTTGGAGATTTGCTCATTCATATTGTCTAAATTGTTTTTAGTCTCATTATGATTTCTTTTTATGTCCTCTTTGCAGTCAATAATTGTTTGGTGAATTAATTGTAGCATCAAATATATTTCCTTCTGAAAAGTGTTTGTTTTTTCTTGAGGCATCGTTCCTGGAGATCCTCTAGTATCACCAGACTCAGTAAGAGTAGATCAAAGTTTCCTCTAATTTTCTGTATCTTTTATAATTCAATAGATTCCAGAGTATAGGTTCAGTCCTGAAAGCAATATTTTATAGTGGTCCTTTGTCTCAAGTATCCAAAAATTGTCAATCAGGCAAGGTTGTAATCCACAATGTTCAAAGTGTTCAAAATGTTCAACCTCTCTGAAAACAGCTCAGAAGTCTCTCCCAGCCAGGCATAGTCCAAGGTCAAATTTTTCTTTCTCTCCCACTAGCTCTTGAAGTTAAAAGTCCAAGCTCAGTAGGTTTTTATATCCAAGAAGGTCAGGGTGATGAGTATGCCAAAATATCGTCCTTTATTGCTAGCTGTTCTTCCAAGCTAGGAATAGTGCTATACCCAAATCCATTACTAGATGTCATTCAAAGTCCATTTTCCACTCTTAAAACAAAGATTTGATTTCTTATATTTCTTCTTACTATTTTTTTTCAAAGAGAAAATCTTAACGGTTATCTCAGTTCTCAAATTTATCAAAGCTGTAGCTTTATGTTACTTCTACTTCAATATTGTATGTTTCTATCCCCCATAGAATTAAAATACCACTTCCATTTACATTCTGATGGAGCTTCTTGGGAGCCTTTCCCAGGAAATTCAGTTGTAAAATAATAAAGAAAGGATCTATATTCTCACCCAGTTCCAAACATGCTGTTTATGAGTAGTAAGTAGTGCTTTTTTCTTCTTCAGTTGTCAGCAGCTAATGGTTGGCCACAGGAATGTAGCCAGTCTTTCCCCTGCTGGTTTGGAGGGCTTTCCTTGGATCGAACGGAAAGACCGCTGTCTCTCCATAATCAACAAGGCACCCCTCCTCTTCATCCCCTCTTCGGGGCAATTTTAGGGCCTTTTTAGGGCCTCCAGCAGAGCGAAATCGGGTGCAGAAGGCAGAATGCTGCCTTCCTGCATCCCGTCTCACCGCGACGCAAACTGGAAGTCAAAAATTACTGTTTTTGTCCAAAGTGTTAACTGCTAAATTGATTTTGATTTCTGGATTTTAAATGAATGAAAAATGTCTTTGCTATTAAATTTATTCTTAAACAGTAGTACCTAGATCAGAGTTTAAGTTATAGCTTAGTTAATTAAAGATATTCATTTTTACTTAATAGAGACTTGAGAATTTCTTTTAAACTCCAAGGTGGGATAATATCTGGTTTTTTATACAATTGCAGTACAGTTTCTTTAATAACATGGATTAAAAATGCAGTTTCTGAATGCTGAATGCTATATTTCATGATTGCTGAAAGGAATTCAGTAAGAAGTATGTTTCAAATGATAACATTGTTGTTTTTCTTTAGAAGTGTCAAAGGCAACTTTAACAGTAGGAAAAAGCGATGATACTAGAGCAGTAATTTCTGTTGAAGGAAAATCATCTATTGAAGCTGATAATAATGAAAATATGGCAAAAGCAAGGCTTCAAGAATCTGTGTTAGCCCATTTATTACCTGAACCTACTCTGATGGAAGGTGTGTCTTGCCAATTCTCAATTTAAGTATATTTAAACATAATATTCTAATCAAGCAGGAAAAATACATTAAAGAAGTTTGACAAGAATTTGTTATTTGTATGAAACCTTGCAATCCATCTAACTGTTTTATTCCAGCATAACTTTGGTCCTGATTGATTGTACAAGAGCATTATAATTATATTTATTTCTTATATTTTTATTCTTCTGCCTTGTTTCTGTTGTTCTTATTGTAAACTGCCCAGGACGTCAGTACACTGGGCTAGTTGACAAATGCTGTTACAGGTAGTCCTCAAGTTATGACCATAACAGAGCCTTATCTGTGATGATCATAAAGTGAGTCACCCAATGACGAAACCAATTTCACTATCTTTTTTGTGGCATACTAAGAGAATGTGGCAATCATTTGCTGTGGGGCATTTTTGACAAAAATAGGAACTAACTAGCAAAAGCTTTGTAAATAACTATTGTGATTCCATGATACTGAAAACAATCATAAATGTGCTAAGCACTCAAAATACGATCATTTGACTGGAGGGGGGGCTGTTGGGACTTTGGAATTGGATCATAAGTAGAGTGAGAGGTCTGTTGTGAATTTGAATGGTTGTTAAGCAACTAGTCGTAACTTGAGGACTATATATAGTTAAATCATTCAATCAGCCATAACTGAAACGTGTAACACAGAAGAATTTAATAACATTTCATATGGCATTTTTAAATATGACTTGACTGGTTATAACTTACTAGTGCTATTTTTGAGTGCTGTTAAAGATTTTTAAATGATAGTCATGCGTAATATTTGAAAACAATTTATGCCCTCCTACTTAATTTGCTGTGTGTAAACATCTTAAGAAGAGCTAAAACTTTTTCCCACAGATGATTTGGAAGCAGAATTTCTAGAAGAAACCCAAAGAAACAAATGTCAAACAGATATATTTCCTGTTGCTGAAGTGTGGGTTAATGAAGGAAAAGAGAAGGAAACAATGTAAGTCCCCATATTTTAACTACCTCCATTTGAAAATCAATTTTTGCAAACTAATAATAAACTATTTACTTTTTTCCCATGGTTGTGATGTTCCCACAGGTCAGAAGTTCATATTGATAATTGTCACTATGACGACAACAAAGATCTTGCTATAGAAGATGGAATTCATAAAAAAATGCCAATCCATGATGAACCATCAGTAGGTCAGCACCTGCAGTTGTTTAAAGCAAAACTCCCCCACATTCTTGGACTGATTGGTACATTTGGAAATTTCAGAATACTTGTGGGTATAGTCATAAAATGGATGCTATTAGAGAATTTTCCCAAAATAGCTGGAATGTAGGGACAGTACTAGTCACAAAAGCACTGAGAATATATTCACGATCTCTATTTAGCTTTATGTTATTAGAGGGCTGGTGATCATTGGGCACTAGTCATGTAACATTTCTATCTTGTAGGAACATTTATGGATTTATTTAATGCCCAAATGCTTTCCTAGAAATGAAGACATATGGAGATTCCCTCATCTTAGTTAATTTAGCTAATTCTCTGTTAATTCTAATGCTGTATCTATTGTTTACTGTTATTATAATATTGTTTTATATTGTAAGCTGCCCAGAGTCCCATAATAATAATAATAATAATAATAATAATAATAATAATAATATAATGTATTTTGCAGCATGAGCTTCCCATAGACTGATAGATTGATATTTATGCACATACACAATACACATGCATGCACACAAGACACATTTAAAGTACCAATAAAAGGGAATATTTGTAGCTCAGGATTGAAATGAGAGTGACTAGCACTGATGACGTTACCTAGTTTGAGTAATGAAACATCTGCAAGAAAACATCCAAGCTCAGAAAGCACCAAAGACTCCTCACATTTAAACTGTTCCTTCTGAAGGGAATATAGTGGGCCATAAGACATCCTTACATAAACTAATTGACATCCTTAGGCCTTAAATCCTTAGGTAAAAAGAAACTGGGTTGGATATGTCTGGATATTTATTTATTTAAGTACATTTATACGGCAACCAATCTTAAGCAAATCTAGGCAGCTAACAATATTAGAAATGTAATAAAACAATTATAATAATACGATGGCAGATGAGAAAACATTTGCATGCTTAATCATCTCCTGATCTGCATGCCTAGATAACAACCAGGTGTAAAGGCTTTTCAGAATGCTAGTTGGGGCCAGCCACACCCACATTATTTTTTTCTATGTTGTTTCAGTATAAATAGGAAAACTGTGTAATAAAGTCCCCTTGCCTGAAAATAAACTTTTGCGATCCGAATGTTCTTAAGGAAAAGAACTGTCAGCAGAATCTTGTCTTTAAATCTGATTCTCTCTGATCAGTACAAGGATTTAGGAAGAAAAAAATTCAGATGACACAGAAAAGAAATCGTGTGATGACTGAAGGAACTCTTCCTTTTGCTATTTATCCTGCTGAAAAATCTCAGTTTTTTCACACATAGATTTTCATAGTCTGTAGTGGTGTGGAGGACAGTTATTTTTTATTGTTTAATTTCAAGGAATTATGAGTTAAGCACAAATTTTAAAAATTAATTATAGAAATCTAACTACTGTAGTTACAATGAAAATATTGTAAGACTTTGATAAGATATCTTTAAACTATTAAAAGAGGTATTTGTAAGAAGACTGTCTTAAGTACTGGAAGTGCTATTAGAAATTATAAATAAATAAAAATGCAATAAATGTTATATAAACTAAGTCTGGAATCTTTTACACAGGATAGTTGATAATAGTAATTCTGATAACAAGGAGAGAAAAAATCTAGTTGAACAGTCTTTTAGAATTGACTTTACCTGCTTTTGTTCTTTCTGTATGGCTGTCAGATGTAATAAGCCCAAAACTTGAGTGTGATAATTATTTCTCTTGAGCTGAGCAACAATTCTTATTTCAACAGTGCTGCAGTAGAAACAGTCAAAAATTAGAAAGAACCAAATTTGATTGATAGGATTTCTTAACATTCATTAGGTAGATAAAATTTAATGACTTGAACATAAAATTACTGAAGTTAACTGACAATTTGAAAAAAAAATGATTATTTTAGATAGGTAGGGAATGCTGATACATTGTTTTAATAACAATGTATTCATATTTTAATTCTAAAATGCTTGCTAAATATAACATTCCTTCAAATGTCTGAATCATGTTGTTTTTTTATTTAATTGGAGCTCTTAAACTGTTACTATTGTATATGTATTTGTAAAATAATTTGGTCTTTATCATACTAGAGACCAACAGCCCTGCCCTACCTGAACCCTTTTTTCAGAAGGTCCAGGAACACCAAGCAAGACTAGTAGCTTTTCCAGTTCTTTCAGCACAGTCTTCCTTTGAAGATTCTCTTCCAACAAGGTCATGCTCTGTATCACCAGAGAAAACAAAAGGCAAAAATTCAGTGTTGATAGGGCTTTCTACAGGTCTGTTTGATGCAAACAACCCAAAGGCAAGTGTTAAAATCTTTAATATCTTTCACAATCTAAATCAGAGGTCCCCAATCTTTCAGGCACTAGGGACCGATTTCGTAGAGAAAGGTTTTTCCGTGGACCGGAGTGTGTGTAGCTTTGTATGCTGCCTGCATCTTGCGGATGGGGCTTTGTTTGTGCGGACTAGTTACTGGCATGCCACGGCCCGGTACTGGTCCACAGACTGGGGGTTGGGGACCCCTGATCTAAATCCTACAACTGAAAGCAAACATATATTATTTTATGAATAGGTTAAATCACATAAGCTAATATAAAATGTTGGGTTTCAGTTATTCTATAAGCTTATGACTTTCTAGCTTCTCAGTTTGCATATACATGTATGGATTAATTTGCTAGTAGATATAGATTTTTTCTAAATAATTATAAAATTATTATATCTGACAACCTGTACAGCAGGGGTTTCCAACTCCTTGGATACAGACTGGTATCAGTCTGTGGCCCGTTAGGAACTGGGTTGGAAGTGAGCTATGGGCAAGGGACAAAAGCAAAACCATCCCCCCCCCCCCGTCCATGGAAAAATTGTCTTTCACAAAACCAGTCCTTGGTGCCAAAAAGGACACTGCTGTACAGTACAAGAATTACATACAAAAGTTTTCATATTAAAAAGACATTTTGTAATGTTGGAAACAGATGGCATTCTGGGAAATTATGTTTGAAATAGAAATTTTATTTAAGAATTTAAAAATTGTGAAAAAGTTATGTTTATTACACAATAAACAGTTCATTACATTACATATTGTTATAAACTTTTATTACATAATGAGAAAAAATCAGTTTTGTCATGAAAACTGATATAGTTTAACCTATTCTATTAACAACCTCTAACTTCTTCTCATTGCCAAACAATATAGTTGCTTCATTCTTAGAGATAGAGAAATAAAGATAAATTTACTTTGTTACAATATTTTATATTCAAATCTTGATTAAGATTCTATCTTATCTTGTTATAAGCTTTGCTTTTTTATTTAATCTATTCATGTAATGCATTCTTTCATTCCAGTTGCTGAGGACATGTTCTCTTCCAGATCTTTCAAAATTATATAGAACATTAGTTGATGTTCCCAGTGTTGCTGATGTCCAAAATCAAGAGAATCTTGAAATTGATGATGTGGAAGATGTACCAATTAAAGAACATTCAGATTCTGAAGAAATGTGAGCTATTCTACTTCATTAAAAGTATTTAGAGAATGTGTTTGCCAAAGTTTTCATGAGAATTCAAACAAATGAGAGTATTAATAAAGGGTAATTTTTTAAAAAATGAGTTGTTTACTATCCCAGTCTGGTACTCTTCAAAGGGCTGGGACTGCAGCTTCCAGAGGTCCCAACTAGCATGTTCAGTGCCTCTTTTGTCCCGTGTTTGGTCCCCTGTATGTTTGAGGGGAACCAGCTTGGAGAAGTCTAGGTTATGCTGTGGCATGTTGGTGTCTTTTATCAGGAAGGGAAAACAGTTCAGAACATACTTTGAACAGTAATAAAAATGCAAAAATAAAAAAATCTAACTATTTTCTATTTCTTTACAGTGCGTTAAGTATTAATGCACCTGATGGAAATCATTCATCACTAGTTGTAGAATACAATAATTGGAAAAATTGGTATGTAGTAATCACAGAAGGGTGATCACCCATAGAATGGTTGAGAAAGGAAACTGAATGTCTGTTGCTGCAAAAGTCATTCTGAAAGTGAACACAAAAGATTTTGAGAAACAGGCAGAATGTCTACAGACTTAGACACCATAACAAGTTTTCATTTATGCATTTTGTTATCTTCATTAACAATGATAGCAGGGCTTGCTGAACTTATAGGTCAGGGGTGTCAAACTCGCAATGTCATGTGATGTGTCGCGACGTTTCGTGACTCTTTTTCCATTGCTGGCAATGGGGTAGGCACGGTTTCGGCATGATGCCACCCACGGACCGGCTCAAGGTCTTCCCTGCCTGCCTCTCCCCCTCAGCCTTCTGAGTCTTCATATCCTGGATCCACTTGATCTTTGATATACTGGCTTGGTCATTCTTACCAAGGGTCTCCTTCCATGGCATCCATCCCTAAAAATAGTGTGAGAGTTAGGGCTCTCAGAACTTGTGCTGTCTTTCTGGTAATTAGCAGGTAACAGGTAATTAACAGGTAAACTTATATATTAAAATGTCAACATACTTTTTGTAGCTGATAAATGAAGACCTATTCCAATCAAAACAGCAACTTTAAAAGAGAAATAACAAAAGAACTTCCACTACTTTAGGAAGAATATAAGATAGTAGTGGGTCTGTTACACGTTTTTATTTTTTAAAAAAATACTATAGAGAAATTGGAATGAGATTTCAATTTATTCCAAACCACAAAAAATCTTAAGAGAAATTATTTCCTCTGGCACACTCTGGGATATGCATAAAAGTACAGAAAATTATTGATTTGGCAGATATAAATGATGTAAAATGAGGGTTCAAAACAACACACAAAAGCAAAACAATCATCTGAATTTAATCCAACAACTAGTTAAAACATTTTTATATAATATTTTATTAGTTTTCTAATTTTACAATCAAGTATTTTAAAAGCAACATGGTGACTGGGTTAATCAATAGTTGAATAACATACATCTTAAGTATAAATCTCAAGTTACAACATCAAATATTTCCTCTCCTTTTCCCTTAATATCTATTACCCCATATTAGGCTAATACAGTTCTTATTTTTATCAACTAAATAAAAACATCTTTGTTACATTTATTAATAATTTTAGTTGATACATATCTTACTTGTGTTTGCATTCAATCCTTATATACAATCAATGTTCTGTATTGCTTTCTTCCCAAGCTTTAATTTTCTGTCAATATTCAAATTAACATTTGGTATTTATAATTTCCAAGCTTTAGGTAAACAAAGTTTCCCTTATCTCAACTTCTTCCTTTTTCCATTTTCACAACAAAATCTAATATTCTAAATACACATCTTATCTATTTGAATATAGTCTTATTCTGTTTTCTAAAATTTATCTATTTTCCACCATATTAAACCATCATTAATAATACAGTATACCCTATAATAAATCAAAACATAGTATTGTCTGGGTTAACCAATAAATCAGTAATATACATACATTTTTTCCTTTAGGTCTAATTTTTAAAAGCTCAAATACTCCCTCTCTTTTTCTGGTAATATCTATTATCTCATATTGGGCAAACAGAATTCTTATTTTCAACTGATTTCCAAATATTTTATATTAGATGACCAAAATTTCCCTTATCTCAACTTCTCCCTTTTCCCTTTTCATATCTAAGTCTATTAGTCTTGTTACATATCTTACCTATTCAATTATAATGTTATTTTATTTTCTAAAAATTATCTATTTTCCACCATATTCAACCCTCTAGTTAGTAATATGAAATCCCCTCTAATAAATCAAAACCCTTATTTTCTTCAGTCTTACTCTGGCTTTCTTTCTTTGCCAACTAACCTTCCCTGTCAATGCTTCTGAATCATCATAGTTCTCCCTCTATTATTATATATATTATTTGGAATAAGAAAGACCAGTTGGTTGTAGTTTTTTTGGAAGAACTAGCCCATTTGTATTCATAGATCGCCTCCCTATTACTCCAATTTCCCACAATTGTCCTGATAGGTTTCTCTTCCATTCAATCTGTTCTTCCTTTTCCTCAAATTTCTTCTGATTTTTGTAAAAGGTCTTTTCCACTTTCAGCGTTGTCACTCCTTTTTCTGATTTTTCCATTGGCTGAATCTATTGGTCAGTTGAGTCCTCTGTCTTAGTATTTAGTTGTTCCACTTCTCCTGTTATTTTCTGCATTGTTAGTTCTTTGGTTGTAGTCAAGATCTGTGTTTGTATATTTAAGCTGGCATCTTGTTCCTTGATGTTGCATCTTATTTTGTCACAAGCTGAAAGAATGGTTTCGTGTATTGATTTCAACATGGAAAGGATTTTTTCCTGATCTTTATCCATATTCTCTTGATAGTATGTTAAGTTGAAGACTTTAGAATCAAACTTTAAGAATAGTTTTTTGTTTTTTATAACTAAGTATGGGACATCTATTTCATGTATTATAGGTGGCCTTTATAGTAGAAATTGTTTGTCAAGTAAGAGTTTATAGTCCAAGGTATTCCATCATCTCCTGTGATAACATATGCTTCTCAGGTAAAGAAATAGGAAAGCAATTCCCCACGTATAGCTCTGAAAGTCAGTAAAAGTTTGCATTCATAATACAAACAAGTCAGATATGCTGCGCAAAAGTTCCTTCTTTGCAGCTGAGATTTTCACAGGTGGTAGCTGTCAAGGTTAGAGAAGTTTTTTTCTGGCTTCAAGCCAAGTCTCTTTTAAACAATAACAAGTAATTCCATACTTCACCACAAGATGTCTGTTTAAATTTTTTTAAGTCCAAAGTTTTTATGATAGTTTTTCAAATCTTATTTTTTTTTAGATAAAAACAAACGTCTCCAGTAAGAATAGGAACACTTTTCATCCCCAAGTTTCAAAAGCATATATATCCAATTAGATTAAAATTGTTCTTACAATTGCTCTTTTCCCCTGGTAGTTAGTTGCCGCTGTTCTTAGAGGGTAGGGTAGAAATTCCCTTCCCTCTCTCCTCACAGGGGAAAAAAATATTTTGGGCAGCTTTTACAGGAAAAAGTACTTAGACTCTTAAAGAGAAGATCAGATCTCACCCAGTTTCATCCGCGTTGTTTAAAGGTGCTTGGTGGTGATTTTGACTTCAGCTGTCAACAGCTTAGTGACGAACCATATTGCTATGGCTGGTCTTTCCCCCACCGGTTTGGAGGGCTTCCCTGGATCCAACGGAAGGGCCACCACCCTCCTGTGATCAAGCAGGGGTCCCCTCCTTGCTCGTCGCCCCTACAGAGTGACTTTTGACCCTTTCCAGGGTCCCCCAGTGGGACAAAATCGGACGCGAAAGATGGAGCTCGTCTTCCAGCGTCCGCGGCACTGCAATGGCAAACTGAAAGTCAGCTAGTTAAAAACATATTGACTTACTTCTATCAAAATAATAATTTTTCTTGAATTTCACTGCTTCCTTTTAACTGGGCTTTACTTTTTTCTCTGGAAATTCCAATCTTTAATCTGAAGCTTTCAGAAACGGTGTTAATCTCTTTTCTCAGTTTTAGTCCAGCAACAATTTCTTAATTTCTTCATCAACTTCTGCTCAGTGTTTAAAATAATTCAGATTTTTCCTTCTCAAAGACAGAGCAAGTCACCTTCATTCAGGAGATGTACTGTATATATTTAAACTAAGATACTGGTTAGCATGTAAGCTGATGTCAGGTATTAGTCGTGAATGTGAAGGTTTGCAACTCACATTCTCATCAAAGTAGTACATCCAGTTGCACAGTTATTTGTGAATTTCTTGGTTTATAAAGCAGTTCTTAAATATTCAAAACCTATGTCTTGTAACAGTTTGTATCCATTCTCCTTTATCTCAGTGGCTGCATACCATTTTTGTTTCGTAAAAGCTAATTATTTTATTCATGGAGAGAAATAATCACATTTAATTAAAATCTTTCTTGTGTTCTTGCAAAATGGTTGAGAAATTCAAGTTTAGAATTTGGGATTTTCCATTTATTTGTTATAACCACACACCCTGTCCTGAAATAGAAACTTGTTTGCTCACATATATTATATTTCAGAAAATTTCTCTTCTTGTTAAGGCCTAAGCAGGCCTCTCTGCTAAGATCTATCTGTATGACAATGAGACAAAGAATGAAGTTTTCAATTATGACTCCTTTTAAGCTGAGAAAGCGAAGATAACTAAGTTTGTATTGGCTTTTCTTTGTCAATCCAACTTACTTGCACTTCGTATTACTGATTTCAGTGTTAAAATGGTTCTACTTCTAAAGCAAAGAACCTCAACTGTTTGAATCCATAAGACTGAAGTTAAATTGAATAAATGGAAAAGAAATTATCTGTAAAATGTTCAGCATTCATCTAAGCATAATTAAGGTCCAATTCATGTGATACATTTCAGTCTATAGCATATTTACTTCTATAAAGCTGTTCACTTGAACAAGATCCAAAACTAAATTTATGAATGAGTTGATCACTTATATTTCCCATATCTGTTTAATATTTCTAGTGCAAAATACTTTTCTGATTATTATCCACATGATCAGATAAGGGTGTAATTTGCAAATCATATAAAATATCCATAGAGTGATTTTAGTGCAGTAACTACATGACAGAATAACCACATGGCAGAGTCTTTGTTGTCTATGATCAGTATTAGCTATTATTGTGGATAAAAAAACATACTTTGCAGATTTAGCTTCAACATTTCTGAAAAATTTATTCTCTTGATTAAAGTAATAGCCAAAAACATTGTATTACAGTATTTTTGGGGAGACAGATACAGATTTGCAAGAGCTTCAGGCATCGATGGAGCAGTTACTTCGAGAGCAACCCAGTGATGAATTTAGTGAGGAGGAAGAAACAACATTAAAAGCTGAATGCCTAGGAAATGATACAGAGGTGGAGGAGGATGGCAACAATTTCAGTAGTGAGAGTGCTTTTAATGAAGAATGGCATTCAGGTAGGTTTCAGTTCTGTAATTGTTTTATAGAAAGCTATGTCTGAAAGTTTGTGAGTCAGTCTTCACCTTGTATGATGTTTAAACAAAATTAACGTCAAGGACAAATCATTAGGACTATGTTGAGATAATTGAATTATTGTTGTCCATGTAGATAATTGCAAAATGGCCATTAAAAAGAGAATAGTGTGGTACTCTAATATAGATTGCCCATTACTACAGATGTGAATAAGAATGTTCTTAAAACAGATCATACTGAAGCGCTGTCCAATATACCACTGCATATTTAGGACTAACGGGTCAGCATCCTTCAAAACTGATGTTTCTAATTTTATAGTGCAACAGTTTACAGGTAGTGAATGTCTTATCACATTTGACTTTGAGATTTGTGCAGTGTGTGAAAATTGTTGAAGGTGTGTATAGTCTTAAGTTATTCAATTGGATATACAAAATAGTTAAGACATATGGCAAATATTTGAAGATTTTTCAGTATGATAATGGGAAACAATTATTTATTTTCCATTGGTTATAATCAATCTCAAATATTATGTCCAGTTTTGGACATGACGCTTTAAGAACAATTCAGAAAAATTGCTAAAGACTCAAAGAAGATTAAAAGTTAAAACTTATGAAGAAAGATGAAAAGAACTGAGGATGTTTAGATACAAGGGTGGAAATTCATCCTTCAGATACCCGAAAAGATGTTGCAAGTAATTCAAGACTTGTTCTTTCACATTCCAAGTACAGGGCATGGAATAATAGATTTAAGTTACAAGAAATTAGATTTTGATTGACTGTTGGGAAAAATAATTAACACAGCATTTAAATTATCCAAAGCTGGTGGGTAGCTCTTAATTGGATGGGTTTCAGCAGAAGGTAGACAGTTGCCTGTATGCTTTAATTTTGATTCCTGTTCTGAGTGGAGAGTAGAATTCAGTGCCCTTCAGGGTCCTTTTCTGATAGATCAGTGGTTCTCAACCTGTGGGTCGGGACCCCATTTGGGGTCGAACGACCATTTCATGGGGGTTGCCAAACAAGGATGTCTGCCATTTTTCCCCCTTTTCTTTGGCCATGCCCCTGGCACCCGGTGATATATAAGTGGTTGGGGGTCACCACAACATGGGGAACTGTATTATGGGGTCGCGGCATTAGAAAGCTTGAGAATCACTGTGATAGATGATTTTAATATTATAACATTTCTTACTTTCATTAGTGCTATTTTATATTGAGCAAACTTTTAATAAATATTGCCATAGGAATAACCTGCTTGTGTTGCTCTGTCCCCAGAATTCCATTGTGCAGTTAAGTGGGAATTACTTAATATAATCTTCTGAAAAAGATCTGATGAAATTCAAGGCAGCACAATTTAAAGATTATTATTTTCAATATACATGTCATGTCCTCAAAGAAAATCATTGTTTCCCTATGCCTATTCCTGAATCTGTAACCTTTCTTTATGGCCTGCCATTCTGTTGGGAGGGGGGATGCTTTGGGGATGCTTTGCACTGTCTTGCTATTGTACCCTTCCCCCAAGGAATGGAACGTATCACCCTTATCTGAGAGACAGTTGCGCTTGGAGCCAGAAGGAAATGAAAGCAAGAGAGACCTTGAAAGAACACACCAAAGAACCCAGTTACCAAAGCACTATGCCACCTGTGGATTGGCTGGAATTCAAATTAACACTGGGACTCTGGGGGGAGGAGTATTGAATATTGCTTTTAATATACTGCTTTCGTGGGTTTTCCTCAGACCTTGTCTTGTTTTCCTTGCTATCACTAGCCCCTAATAAAAGTTCCTTTTGAGACAATGCCTGTTTCAAGAGTTCTGCTTTCTTGGGTGGCTTAGCTGAGGCAAGTCCTTACATAAGGCAAGGTCTGCATAGTGCCCAGCCCAGAGAGGCAGCTGCTCTACCGAGGTGGATTGCAACCGATGTGCCCCTTCCTAGCAGCAAAATGAAAGAGGGCAAAATGGAAAGCTGGAGCAGAGATATCGCTCTGGCAGACCCCGGGGAAAGCACTTCCAGGGACCTGGGAGTGGCGGAACGCTTGGCAGAAGGTGATCAAGCTAGGTGGTTGCTCAGGGTCAGAAAGAAAGAACACTAGGAAGGAAAGGCTCAGAAAATAACTGTCACACAAGGCAGAGGAAAGAAGAAAGCAAAGAAGAAAAACCAAGAGCCTACCTCTCTTGAAAAGGAACTAGTGGATCCAAAGTCAGAAATGATGAAAGCAATCTTAAAGCAGACAATGGAATAGGTGCAGGAGTCCTTCAAGGAACTAAAAGCCCAACTGAAAGAGCAAACAGAATCAGAGGAAGAAACAGAGGAGGAAGCTGGTAAAGAGCTAACGGGGCCTGCGGTGGCGGCTGCCCCCCCTGCAGTAGCAGCACAATGGGTACGACCGCCCCAAAGACCCAGAGGGGCTGTACTCCAACTGGAGGTGAAGCCAATTCTGTTGGGGGTGAAATTCGACAGGAATCCCAAGTGATTGGGGTTCTTCCTAGCCCAGGTATTCACCTACATTCAGGTATGCAGGAGAACCCTGAGGAAAAAGAGTGATCACCCTAGCGATGGAAGACACTGCGGCTGACAGGATGGTGACCCTCTACAACAGCAATGCTCCAGAACTAGGAAATTTTAACTGGTTTATGGCAGCCCTCCGACACCACTTCAAAGATCGCCCAGCAGACCGGAAAGCTCATGACCGCATAAAAACGGTGAAGCAAGGGCGACGATTAGTAGCTGAGTACATGGAGGAATTCCAAGTTGGCCAGCTGCTTAAACTGGTCAGAAGACATCCTGGTGAGCTATTTCCAAGATGGCCTGAACAAAGACCTGTACAATGCCTGTGTAGCCCATGAAGCCTCCTGGCAGAGAAGGTGGAAATAGATAAATGCAAAATCAGCACTGCCCGGTGAGAACCAGCTTCAATCCAACACCTGAGAGGAGAGGTGATACTGTACGGGCAACATTGACCCCACCCCACTCCATGGCGGGCTTCAAATGTGGAAAGGAAGGGCATTGAACAGTCGGCCGCAGCAAAGGATCAGCGAAGAAAGGTGACCATCAACTGGTGGGAAGACCCACACTGCACCCAAGGGAGCTGGTGATAGTGTTCGAGGAGTCCGTAGAGCTCCCCTGGGTCCGCAGGGTAGAGGGTCAAGCTCCGACTCCACCAAATGATGACCTGGGGGTGGTGGAGAGTGACTACGAGAATGACTCCTTGGTAAGTGGGCCGATCAATCCCCTAACCATGCCCTTAGAACTGTCCATACCAGGCACCGGTAAGAGAGTAAAGTCAGCAGCTTCACTGGACTTGGGATGCACCTGCTGCTTAATCAGCTCAAAACTGGTAGGGAAGTTGGGAATACTTCTCAGGAGAGTCAAGACCCCAATCACTAACAGAACGTCCTAACCGCGCTTCGCGAAAGCCAGGAAACAGGAACGTTGCAGTATTCAACAAGCTTTATTCACTATGTTGAAACTAAGTTAGCACTGGAACGAAGCTCCATTCATTGCCCTAAATACATTCCTCCACCACACCCAGAGTACACACCCCAATTGACGGTTAATTGGTCATCTGGTATCCACCTGTCCCCCTCCCCATACCTGCCTTGTGATAGTCCTCCACCTTACCTACTCCCCGATCCAGCTAGTACTTATGTTCAAACCTTACATTGAGTCCACGCCCCGATCCAGCTAGTACTTATGTTCAAACTTTGCATTGAGTCCACGCTCCGATCCAGCTAGTACTTATATTCAAACCTTGCATTGAGTCCATGCGTTCCATTCACGCCATTCTCATCCCTAATGTCCCACTCAATCTCTTCCTATAATACCCCCTCCCGGTATCCAAGCGTTGTCAGACCCAGCGTCCCAGTTCCCATCATTCACAGAGTCACGGTTCCAGCAACATAAGCCATAACAGTTTTAACAGCAGTCGGCTTCTCCATATTCCATTTCTATGTAGCCTCCATCCGGTTATGTGCTGGCAACATAGGATGTTCATGTGACCCGTTCAGCCGCCGCTGTTGGCGATGTAGCTCACGAAGCTACCGGACTCGGCTGGAACACAGGGTTAACTGGAACATTCTGGACTTTGGAAGGTAAGTATCACACTGGGTCTGACATTCGGCCCCCCTCACCACAGGGCCCCCTGAAGGTGAGAAATGGGAAATTGATTAATCATGCCAATGTTCACATACAATAACCTTTCTAGTCACCCCCTGGTTTGTGTGGTAGTGCTCTGTGATACCGACGGATTAGATCAGGGGCGGATATATCGTGTTTTTCTACCCAAGAGGCTTCGGACAGAGGGTATCCCTTCCACAATATCAGATAATAGAGTCTACCCCCCCTTACTCGCGAATCAATTATGTCCTGTATTTCATATCGTCCTGGCGTAACAGGTCCTGGGGGTGTCTCATGGGACGGTCCTCCCATGGGTTTCAACAAACTTACATGAAAAACCAGGTGTATCTTATCAAGTAGTTTCGGTAAGTGGAGCTTCACCGTCACAGGATTGAGGATCTGGAGTATACGAAATGGTCCGATGTATTTTGGTGCTAATTTTCTGCATGGCACCTGCAACTTAATATACTTGGTTGACAAATATACCAGGTTGCCTGCCCATAATTGAAATGGCATTCTGCGACCTTTATCTGCCTGATACTTTGGTGTCTGAGCTGCCCGCTGCAGAGCGTGTCGTACTGTACTCCAAACCTTACCTACTCACGACAACCACTCATTTGGTTGACCGACCTGGGTTTCCCGGTTTCTACTTTCCGGTGGAGTAATATCATGTCCATATACCACTTGGAATGGGGTTAGGCCAGTACTTTTATGTACCGCATTGTTATACGCAATCTCCGCAAATGGTACCAAATCTACCAAATTGGACTGTTGGTAAGACACGTAACATCGGAGATATCTCTCTATAGCCGCATTGGCCCGCTCCGCCGCCCCATTAGTACAAGGGTGATATGCAGAACTCAGCCCTTGTGTGGTACCAATAAACCTCAGAAATTGCCGCCAAAAATGAGCTGTAAATTGGACACCTCGGTCCGAAATAATCCGGCGAGGCGCCCCATGCAGTCGGAACACTTGGTGTACGAACATTTTAGCCAATTTCCTCGCCGATGGTAGTCCCTTACACGGTATGAAATGGGCCTGCTTTGAAAATAAATCTACCTCCATCCATATAACTGTATATCCTTTTACATTTGGTAAATCTACTATAAAGTCCATCCCAATGTCCTGCCATGGCCGAGTTAGATTAGACACTGACTGGAATAATCCCATTGGTTTTTTAGGAATTACCTTCGCCTGTGCACAAATATGACACCCTTTCACATAGCTTTCAATGTCCTTCTGCAAACTCGGCCACCAGAACTGCCGTCTCGCCAAATGTAATGTTTTCAAAAACCCAAAATGGCCTGCTAATTTGGAATCATGGCACCGGTGGTACACTCGGTCCCGTAACCGCTGTGGAATGTATAGTCTATCACCGTGCCAAGCTAAACCATCTCGGTAGGTCAACAATCCAGGATTAGCTAGTGACCAAGAGTCATTTAACAAAGCAGACTTTACTTCATCCTCGAATGCTGTCGTTTTTTCGCAGGCATCTGCTCGTATGACTTCAACACTGCCAGAAGGCATGATAGCTTGGATCACCTCTTCCTTTTTGCTGTCGTATTGTGGCAGACGTGAGAGTGCGTCTGCTAAGAAATTCTTCCCTCCTGGAACAACTTTAAAATGAAACCTAAATCGTTGGAAATATTGCGCCCAACGAACATGTTTGGGAGCTAATCTCCTCGGTGTCTGGAGGACCGTTAAATTCTTGTGGTCTGTCCACACTTCAAAGGGATGCTGTGCGCCCTCCAACAAATGGCGCCACGTGGACAGGGCCCATTTCACGGCAAACGCTTCCTTTTCCCATACCGCCCAGCGTCTTTCTGTATCAGTGAACTTCTTGGAGGTATAAGCGCAAGGTTGTAGAATACCTTGGTCATTGCGCTGCAATAATACCGCTCCGACTGCCACGTCGCTCGCATCGGCCTGTACAACAAACGGCCGCCCCGGATCTGGATGTACTAATACAGGTTCTTGAGCGAATAATGTATTTAAGGACTCGAATGCTCTTTGACAAGCAACAGTCCAGTTCAAGGATTGTCCCGGGCGGGGTTTCCCTGCAATATGCTTGGTACGCAATAGCTGGGTCAATGGGAGTGCCACATCAGCAAAAGAGGGAATAAATTGCCGATAGAAATTAGCAAACCCCAAGAACCGTTGTAATTGACGGCGGGTCTTTGGGGCTTGCCACTCTAATACAGTTCGTACTTTACTGGGATCCATCTCTATACCGGCTGCTGAAACTCGGAATCCTAGGTATTCAATGCGCTCCTTGTGAAATTCGCACTTTGATAGCTTACAATATAGCCGGGCATCTAACAATTTTTTCAGCACAGTGCGCACCAATTTCACATGCTCCTCCAATGTTTGGGAATAGATGAGTATATCGTCCAGATATACCAGCACAACCCGGTACAGATGTTCGTGCAAGCCATGCTGGAATGGGCTCCCTCTTGTACTAGGAAGCAATTACAGAGCTTCTTCATTTGCACAAATTGCACTCCCCATCACAAACCTCTTGAAAACCAAAGGCAGGGACAAACCCAAACCCAGCCAGCCGCTGAAATGGATAGGGGATTGTCAAGCAGTGTTTGAGAAACTAAAGAGGCTTTTCTTGGCAGAGCCAGTACTGAAGCACATGGACCCGGAGAAAGTTTTTGTTATTCAGGCTGACGCTAGCGACATGGCCGGGGGAGTGGTTCTCCTCCAGAGAAACAAGGAGGGCCAACTGCAGCCTTGTGCTTACACCTCTAAAAAACTGTCTGAGACTGAGCAACGGTGGGCGGCCTGGGAGAAGGAAGCCTATGCTGTGCGATGGGCCCTTCTGATCTGGAGGCATTTTCTAGAGCAGGGCTTTTCAACCTTTTCACCCATTGTACCACTTTTAGGATACGGCAATATCCAAGTACACCAGTCGCCTAGAAAGGTGTCAAAAACTTGATGACCCCCCCAAAAAAGGAAAAAAGTGATAAAGTATAGATAGTCCTCAATTTACAACAGTTTGCTTAATGACTGTTCGAAGTTACAATGGCACTGAAAAAAGTGCCCCCCAAGTCACAACCGAGCAAGACACCTGCCTGCCTACCCAGTGGCGCTCTTCCTCCTGTTCAAGGTTTTCATTGTTGTGAGCATTTCTGTTGGGGATTGGCAGTGGAGGTGGGGTGGGAAGTGTTTGATTTTTATTCCACCCATCTGCTGGGTGGTTGCCGCAGGGTTTGGTCACTTCACATGACCCTGGGACACTGTGACCATCATAAATATGAATCAGTTGCCAAGCACCTGAATGTAAATCACAAGACCCTGGAGATGCTGCAACATTCCAGCTGATCGGCGCTTCTTCTGGGCTCATCAGAAGTGCCAGGATCAGCGCTGAGCTCCAGCTGGAGCCTGGCGCTGATCCTGGTGCTTCCACTGAGTCCTGACAGCCCCGAAGAAGTGCTGATCAGCTGGAAAGCGGCACTGATCCTGGTGCTTCCGCTGAGCCCTGACAGCCCTGTAGCTCCAGCCATCTCTCTCTCAGGCTTGTGCGGTGCTGCCACTGGTTCAATTCATTCCCCTCCCCTGCTACCACTTTTCTAGGATGATCACCTACCACCTGCCAAGTGCCAATGTACCACATGTGGTACCCATACCACTGGTTGAAAAGCTCTGTTCTAGAGGGGAGTAAAATACCATTTCAGGTGTGGACTGATCACAAAAATCTCGAAGCTATGAAAACCCCTAGGAAGCTGTCCTCTAAGCAAGCAGGTGGTCTCAGCATTTCCACCTTCAATTTTACAATTCATTACCTTCCTAGGAGCAAGAATTTCCCGGCAGATGCTCTGTCTAGGATGCCAGAATACAATAGTGCTAAATCAGAAGTAACCGCACCTTCTTTTCCCTGCTATCACTAGCCCCTAATAAAAGTTCCTTTTGAGACAATGCCTGTTTCAAGAGTTCTGCTTTCTTGGGTGGCTTAGCTGAGGTAGATCCTTACAATATAATATTATTACCACCTTGCAGATTAAAAAATCTCATTCCAGTCTACACAGTCATTAATGATTGGTTGCAATCAATGGTTATTACATAGATACAAGATCTTGATGTGAATTAACTAATTCTTAATAGGTGTAAATGTGAATTGATTTTATTTTGTTTTTTAATGTTAAATGCTGCTTGAGTTTGTGTACTTCATTTTTATAAACTGGACGTTTACGTCTCTGTTCTTGAATGACAGATTCTTCCCCCTCCTGGGAATATTCTGTGCTTACAGATGCCTAGACAAGATCTCTATGGTTAATTTTTTAATATTCTTTAGTATATTGTACTCTAAACTTGATACTTTTGAAATAATAATTGTAAATGCATGGAAATGAGTGTACATTGTAATTAGTTCTTAAAAGTAATTGAATTTAACCAATTTATACTGATTTAAATAAATGATAAATGTTTAGATTGCATTGTTCCAAGCAGAGTAGTGACTACTACAGGAGCTATGGTAGTGCAGTGGTTAGTATGCAGTGTTGCAGGCTGATTCTGCTCACTGCCAGGAGTTTGATCTTGACCAGCTCAAGGTTGACTCAGCTTTCCATCCATCCTTTGATATAATGAGGACTCAGATTGTTGGGGGCAATATACTGACTCTGAAAACTGCTCAGAGAGTGCTGTAAATACTATGAAGTGGTATATAAGTCTAAGTGCTATTACTATTGCTACTTTGACACTTACCTATGCAGCCATATTGTTTTATTGTTATATTTGCATATGGTCATATGAAACTATAAAATATTCAAAATAAGTGTGAGTATAACAACTTCAAAATTTAGTCAGGAACTGGAAAAAAGACAAATAAGTATTGCTACAATAAAAATTGGAATGCTAAAATATTTTCTTATATTTTTTATAGACAATAGCGATGGTGATAATGCCAGCGAATGTGAGGAATATAATAGTGTGTTCAGTCATCTAGAAGAACTGAGATATAACCTGGAGAGAGAAATAGGTTTTGAAAAATTCATCAAAATTTATGAAGAAATAAAGGTTTGTAGAATGTTTAATATGAAGACAAGAGAGCAATTTTTAAAAAAAGATTATTAATTTTCCAGTTTTACATTTACATTTTTGAAAAGCGGTGTGGTGGTTGGGTTGATTCATAATTCAATAACATACAAATTTCTTTAGTACAAATCACAAACCATTACATTAAATATTTCCTCTCTTTTTCCCTTGGTATTTACCGTCTCACATTTGAATTAATACAATTCTTATTATATCAATTTAATACAAATAGCTTTCTTACATTTATCAATAATTTTTAGTTTATTCATATCTTAGTCATTTTAACATTCAATCCTTTTAGATAATCAATGTCCTGATAAGTTTTTCCCAATTTTTAGTTTCCCATAAATATTTAAATTTAACATTTAATAGGTTTTCAAATTTTAAATAACCCCAATTCCCTTTATCACAATTCATCCCTGGATCTTACATCAACTGGTTATTATTAATACAATATAATACAATACAATATAATATTCTTATTTTCTGATAATTTCCAAATATCTTAAATTTAATAACCAAAATTTATCATTTCAACATTTAATTTCCTCTTTTTTCTCCCAATATACTATCTTATATTTAAGCTAATAATTTTTATTATTACCACTAAATAAAAAACATATTTGTTACATTCATCAATACATTCCTAGTTTATATATATTTTAATTGCCTTTATATTCAATATTCAAATTTAACTATTAATGTTTATATTTCCAAGTTCTAAATAACCAAAGTATACTTTAACTCAACTCATAACAATTTCTAATATTCAAGGTACACATCTTATCTATTTTGAGAATATTCTATTTTAATTCTCACTAGTAAGTCAAAACCCCAATTTTCTTCAGTCTTATTCTAGCTTTCTTTCTTTGCCAAATTGTATTCCATGTCCATGCTTTTGAGTCATCAAATAAATCTCTTTGTGTTATTATGTATGTTGTTTGACATAGAAAAAAACCATCTGATCGCCATTTTTTTGAGAGGACTAACAAATTGTCTCTCTATTTTTTCATCTTGATGTAGTTGTCTTAAACTGTTTATCTTCTCTTCAGTTTGTTGTTCTTCTTGATCCTCAGGTTTCTTCTGATTTATTTAGAAAATCTTTTCCCTTTTCCATTTTGTCAGTCCTTTTTCTGGGTTTTCCATTGACTATACTTGTTGATCAATTAAATCCTCAGTCATAGTATTTAATTGATCCACTTTTTCCATTATATTCTGTGTAGTTGATTTTTCAGTTGTAATCAAAATTTGAGTTCATGTATCTGGGCTGACATCCCCTTCTATTTTGTAACCTTTTATTTCTTCAGTAGCTATAAGAATAGTTTGGTAAATCGCTTTCAGCATAAAGAGAATCTGTTCCTGATCTTCCTCCATATTCTGTTAGTAATGTGTTAGATTAAAGGCTTTGCAATCAGAAAATATAAAAAAAAAATTCAGTGAGTATGGAACACAGCTGGGCTTCACTGCTGGTAAGTGTCTCAAGGTTATAAGTCTTATCTATTGTCTAGGCTGCCAGTCTCTTTTAAACAATAACAGGTGTAATATCAGGTTTAGCCACAAGATGTTATAGGGTCTCCCTATATTTAAATTTTTCCTTTAGGTCCGAAGTTTTTATAATCTTTTCAGCTTTATTTCTTTTTTATAAGTAAAAACCCAGATCTTCATTAAAAGTAGAAAGTCTTTTAATCCACAAACTTTAAGAAATAAAATTCCAATTAGGATCAGGTTATTCTTGCAACTTTTTAAAAACTCCCCTGGATAGTCAGTTGCCGCTGTTTTTAGAGGGAGGGGTAAAATCTCCCTTCCCTCTCCACAGGGGGGAAAGTACTTAAGGCAGCTTTTGCAGGTAAAGAAAATAGTTAGGATTTAAGAGAGGTAGATCTCACCCAGTCTTGTCCGCGCTGCCTTAAAATTGCCTGATGGTAAGTGTGACTTCGGCTGTCTGCAGCCTAGTGACAAGCCATATTGCTGTGGCCGGTCTTTCGTCTGCCGGTTTGGAGGGCTGCCCTGGATCAAACAGAAGAGCTACCGCCCTCCCACGATCCAAGGGGGATCCCCTCCTTGCTGGTCATCCGTACAGGGTGACTTTCAACCCTTTCCAGGGTCCCCCAACAAAGCAAAACTGAACGTGGAAGACAGAGCTTGCCTTCCAGACGTCCATATAGGCTGCCTCGGGAAGTCTCAAGAGAGCAAAATTATTATCTAATAATGATCTCTTTCATAATACAAGAACTCTTTTAATGAAATTAAGCTAATATAGTTATTTTTCAAATGAGTTTTAACATACAGTTTCTTAAGGATATTCTAAGTAATTCATTGTGTTCAAGAGCTGGAGGCCTATCTATGTTGATCCTTGATAATTTCTGGCTGGTAGAGAATCCTGTATGTCTTCTGCTAATCATTTTCTGAATAACATGATTTAGAGACAGTCCTCCATAACTTCTACTCCCCTTCCCAGCTTTTCCACTGAAAAGATAGTTTAATAATGACAGTTTCTGCTTAGACTTTAGCAAAAAAAATATTAGCAGTTATGGTGCCTTGTTGGATCTGGATGAGGAAAGTTTGTGAGCTTATAATATTTTGTTAGGTTAAGTTTCTATGCCTTATTTTCTAGGCTATACATGAAGATGAAGATGAAAGCATTGATACTTGTTCAACAATAGTTCAAAATATTTTAGGAACTGAACATAAACATCAATATGCTAAAATTCTCCATTTAGTAATGGCAGATGGAGCATACCAGGAAGGTAAGTATCTGACAAGCACATGTTCTCAGCATTATTTTTCTGCTGACTGCCTATTCATGGTTAGCAAGTTGTGCCATTTTTTTTGTTGCACGACAGTGGTTTCTATATACCAGTGATGGCGAACCTTTTAGAGACTGAGTGCCCCAAAACTGGCCCCGCTCCCACTACACCCCCTGCCCGCCCCCACCCTGCCTGCCCACAGGGCCACTCACTGCCTCCAGGGCCCACCACAGATCGCCCAGGTAGCCCAGCAGCGCCATGGCGGCCACGCCCTCTGCCTGTGCCACACAGCATCAAGTGTGCGCGATGGGGCGTGAGGGCAGAGTCTTGTCTACGCTGCCTGGCTGCCATGTCCTTGACTGCGCTGCTCTGCATGGGCCATGCTCGGGCAACTCTCCAGGGGCCTGCTGGTGAGGGGGTCGCAGGAGGAGGCAAGGCTGGGCAACGGCATGTGTGCTCACAGAGAGGGCTCCAAGTGCCACCTCTGGCATCCATGCCATAGGTTTGCCACCACTGTTATATACTCTAGAAAATTGTATATTTTTACTGGCAAATATTAAAGTGAATATAGAACTACTTTATAATATTTTAAAAGTTGCCAAATTTCTGCTGATTAATAGGATTCTATGCAGTAGTATCTTCAGCTTGGGTTTGCCCATTCTTTGGATAGAACTTAGTCTAATTTGTCATACTGCAATTTGTAAGTGTACATTTTTCTATTTAATGTTTCTAATGGAAATCTTATTAGATATTTTCATACTGCAGAAAGTAAATATACTAAAATGTACAGTGTTTTGTGTATTTATGTATATTGACTTGGTGCAATGTTAATATTGAACTTGATCTTTTGCCTGTTATTAAAAGAGGAAAAAACAGGATTTTGCCAGTTCCTGAGATTCTTTCATAACAAATATAAAACAATTTTACAGCTGCCTAATATTTAATACAAATTGAGTTGTATTGTTCCTAATACCTTTATCAAATCTAATTTAAAGGCTAACTAGGGTTATCATTAAATTGATGCATACCATATGCTAAATAAATAAGTTAAATTAATGCAGATCTAATATTACACCATGGTTAGCTTCTAAAACAGAGGTGGAAGGTTGCAGAAATAAAGGGAGAAAGGTACATGATTTTGCTACAAGCTAAATAGTCTTCTGATTGTTATGTAAATCTTATATTTGTAACAAACTATTTATTTAAATTAGTTTTTGATTCATATAAGTGAAGTATATGTCCTCAAAACTTTAATATATAAAACAACATGAATCATGGTAAAATTAAAAATTAAACTGAGAAGAGTGACGTATAAAAATAGCAGACTTGTTATTTACTTAATACCTTTTCATTATTTCTTAGAGGTTGGTGTTTGTCGTCTTTTAGTAGATTAGCATTTTTGAAAGTCTGCTTGCTAAACTGTTTTTTCCATAATTAAATATTTTAAAATTTTTCTTTGCAGACAATGATGAATAATACGTTTTGGTGACATTCTAAGCAAAAGCAGATGTATGAATTTTATTCTGTAATAAACTACAACAAAAATAACACTTTATTGGGATAGACTTAAAATCTTCTTGGTAGCATGAAGAAAATGGAAAAAACACGACTCTTTTCACCATTTTATAAATATCTGTTGATATATAGCTTCATTCCTTCAGTAACACATTGAAGGCTGTGTTCTATTTAAAATGAATTACAAGGAATAGAAAGACTGACTCAGAAATAATTTACCATTTGAAAGTATCAGGTATGAAAATGCTGATTATATAGTAGCTAAGTAAAGCAGTAAAAAGGAACAAACAAAACAATATATTTTTGTTTAAACAACCTTGACTGCTGTTGGTGGAATTTTTAAAGATGACTTTGTTTTCTGTTTAGAATGACAATTTTTCAGTAATACTACTTGATTTTAAGTGCATACAATATGGAAGTAATTTCCCTGAAATTAGTAGAACATTTTACATGCATTTAATAGAAACTATTTTTTTTCATTTTGCTGTAGAATATGTGTAAAATTATTTACAATTCTCAGTATTTATGTCCTAATCAGTTTATCATCTTTCTCTTTGAAATCCCTCAACTCAGTTTCAATACTACTTTTGTCAGCTTGCAGCAGAAGTGATTTTCCACTATAAATCAAAGGAGCTTTCAGGACGAAGTTTTCTTTAATTAAAGTACTGTGTACACAGCTAAGTCTGCTGCTTTTTTGTTTCCCTGTAACAAGACCATCCTAACAGAAACAAATGTAATATTGCTGTTGTTTTGAAAGTTAAATGCATATTCTATAGCTGGGTTGTTTAAAAGGGAGAAGCTGGATTTTATTTCCTCTGCTTCTCACTGAAAAGTAATTATTTAATGGGGAGAGAGAATTTCTGCAAGATGATGAATCAAAGCATTTATTGTATGTAACAGATAGTATTGACCAGCTGAATCAGCTGTATAACAGTGGTTTATGTTGAAAATATAATTCTGTATTTCCTGACTAACAATGGAAAGTGGAATGTATATAAACATAAAATTAAAATTTTAAAGTAATTCTAATTATATGAAATAAATATTGAAGGTGTTGTTTGTATGATAGTTTGGATTTTCTTGATTTATGCAGCTAATGAATTTCCATGTTTATATTGCAGGAAAAAGAAATAAAATTAACACATATTTATGTTTTGAATTTTAAACTAAAATTTAGTTTACACTCCAGGCAACTATAGAGAAATATATACATATCTTTTATGAAAATAAATGTAGGTTCCAGATGGCAAAAGGCAAGAAGCTTTGTTACTGACTATATAATGGTTAGTTGAGGTAAAATTGCTTTCCATGGAATGTTCACTGTTATATCTTCGGTTCTTTAGGCATTGAACAAGGCAGAGTGTTGAAACAGCAAACAAGTTTATTAACTCAGAAGAGAAGCAGCCCTAAAGGCTGCTGCACAGCTATTTATACAGTTAGCCTCTAGGTGGCAACCAATAGATTTAAAGTAACAGTTTCCTGCCCCAAGCCTCATTATCAGCTTGGAGACAGCCAGTCTGGCTTTCAGTAACAGCAACTGTTAAATAATATAGCAATGCAGGTCAGACATTAAGCAAGTGATTTAAAACAGTTGTGGTCAATACATTACACCCCTTCCCCCTAGATGGCTCAAACTCTCAATTGCTGGACATAGTCCTGCAGATATTTAAGCGGCCTTCTTGACCGTTCTGAATGTCTAGGGGGTGCAGGGGTCTCCCGGTCTACCTGCTCACCTGCCCAACTGGGTAGACCAGGACTCTGAGATCCAGTGAAGTCAGGTTGACTCGGGTCCTTTTGGCTGGCCAGTCCCGGTCGAGCCAAACCAAAGTCCAATCGTGCAGCAAAGTCTGCAGGGCTGTCTCTCAGTGCAGTTTGCCGGTCCTGTTCAGCAGATACTGTATCTGTCCAGGGGAAGCTCTCCTACGGCTTTTCCCCTGTCTCCTTGAGTAAGAGTTCTGCTGGAGTGTGCAAGCTCCTCTGTTGGGCCGCTGTCGCATGCCCTTTGCATGCGGCCCTCTTGAGAGGCCTGAGCCAGTGACTGGTTCGCTAGCCTCCGATGCAGCTGGTCAATGTGCCGGCGAATGACTTGCCCATCTTCCAGGACCACCTCATAAGAGAGTGGTCCTGACACCTTAACAACCATGGCTGCCACCCACAAAGCCCCTTGCCCGTAATTCCGGGTCCAAATCCAGTCACCCACTTGCAAATTCTGAGGTGCCTTTGGCTCAGCAGAGTCCGAGGCAACCCGGTCAAGATGCAGCCTGTCCAGCTTGGTGATCAAACGTTGGCCCCATCTGAGTTTGGCAGGGCTTCTGCCTGTGGCGGTACAAGGAGTTGTGCATTGGGAGAGTAGAAAATCTTCCAGTCTGTGGTGCCAATCCCCTGTGACAATCTGTTTTAGTGATTCCTTGGTTGTGCGGACCATGCGTTCTGCTTGGCTGTTGAGGCCGGGTGAAAGGAAGCCAACGTGGCGTGCCGAATTAGATTTGCCCTGAGGAAAGACTGGAATTCAGAAGCGGTAAACTAAGCCCCATTGTCTGAGACTAACACATCTGGAAGTCCATGTGTTGTAAAGATTCTGCACAGTTCCTGGATGGTCCTGGAAGTAGTCATAGTATGGACTGGTGCGACTTCTAACCATTTAGAATGGCTATCTACCACTATTAGAAACAGCTGTCCCTGAAAGGGTCCGGCAAAATTGATGTGGATTCTTGACCACAGTGTGTGTCCTCCCATTGGTGGACAGGGGCTTGTGGCATCTCAGGTCTGGATTGCTGGCACGTGTAGCAACCATGTACTTGGGCCTCGATGGCTTTATCTAGCCCTTGCCACCAAAGGTAACTCCTCGCAAATGCCTTCATCTGGACTATTCCTGGATGACTTTTGTGCAGAGACTCTGGGCCTTAAAGAGCTTGGGACTATGACCCTACTTCCCCAAAGGATGCACCCCTTATGAGCTGAAAGCTCATCTTTTCTCATGAAGAAACTCTGAAATTCTGGCCCTGGACATTTGTCCAACCATCCTGTGTGTACCCAGTTTAGCACACGACTCAGCGTTTTGTCAGTTGCTGTCTCAGCAGCTATGTCCCCAGCGTGAAGGGAAGATTCCCACAAATCCTGGATAGCCAGGATGCGTGCAGCCAGAGCTGGATCTGGCTCCACATGTGGCTGGGGCAACCTGCTCAGGCCGTCTGCATGGCCCATTTTCTTGCCCGGTTTGTGAATCATCCTGTAGCTGTAGGCTGACAGGAAGATAGAACACCTCAGCATTTGAGGAGACAGAATCTGAGGTGTCTGTTTGTTTGTGGTGAACAGCCCTAGGAGTGGCTTGTGGTCCGTGAAGACCGTGAACTGACGGCCATACAAGTGATCATGGAACTTTTAACTCTAGCCACAATGGCCAAAGCCTCCTTGTCAATTTGTGCGTAGTTGTGCTCTGCGGATGATAGGGTCCTAGAGTAATATGCAATGGGCTTCTGCCTCCCATCAGCCATAAAGTGGCTTAACACAGCCCCAACCCCATACGGGGATGCATCACATGCAATGCAGACAGGCAGCTGCTCATTGAAATGAGTGAGAAATAAGTTCGATGACAGCAGTGATTTGACTGCTTGGAAGCTATTCCCGTGGACATTGGTCCACTGCCACTGAGCTTGTCTATCCAAGAGCGGGTGTAAGGGCTCTGACACTGCGGCCTTGTTTGGGAGAAAGGCATGATAAAAATTCAGAAGGCCTAGGAAAGTCTGAAGCTCTCCCTTTGACTTTGGGCTTGGGGCCTGCTGGATTGCTTTTAATTTGGATTCCGCCGGATGAATGCGTTCGGCATCGATGCAGAAACCAAGGAACTCGGTTGACTCTACTCCAATCTTGTACTTTTCTCTTTTTAGTTTAAGTCCCGTGTCATGGAGTCACTGAAGGATGGCCTTAAGCCGTTCAGCCAGAATCTCAACCGATTCTCCAGCAATGAGGACATCATCGTAGGGGCAAACCCCTGGAATTCCCTTGAGCATGCGCTCCATCACTGCCTGGAACAGCCCTGGGGCTACACTCACCCCGAATGTAGGCCCTTAACCTTAAAAGCCCCCCTATAGGTGACAGTGGTCTGGGCTACTGCCGTGGCCTCATGCACAGGCAGTTGTTGATAGGCCTGTGCCAAATCTAATTTGGCGAACACGCAGCCTCCTTGCAATGATGCCAAAATATGGCTGACAACTGGCACAGGGTACACGTGCTGTTGAAGTGCCCTGTTGAGAGTGCACTTATAGTTAGCGCATATTTGTACTTTCCCGTTGGCCTTTAATGGTGTTAATATGGGAGTCTCCCACACCCCACTGTCTATAGGCTGCAATACCCCTTGTTCCACTAGCTTATGCTGCTCTGCATCAATTTTGGGTTTTAACGTGAAAGGCACTCTATGAAGTTTGATCCGTATTGGAGTTACCATAGGATCAAGCTTGAGGACGATCGGAGGACCCTTGTACTTCCCTAGATTAGGACTGAAAACATCCGCAAACTCTTGGCAGACTGCAGACAGATCTGCCTCTTGTGTTTGGTGAATGCCGGTTACTTGAATGCCCAATGCATCAAGCCAATCGAGCCCTATGAGGCTCATGCGTTGGCCTTCCACCACTACATCAAGTGGCTCCTTGAATTCCACCAGAAGTGTGACTTCGCCTTTGACCACAACTCGGGAGTTTTGGAAGTCTGTGAGTAGTAGATTAGATGGCTGGAGCTTGGCCCATCTGTTGCTGTGATGGCATAGAAGCCTGAATGTTCCTTGTGAAATGATGGATATGGCTGAGCCTGTGTCCAGTTCCACCCTGCATGGAACTCCCTGAAGCTTGACCTGTAGTCTAAGCTTCTGCTTTAGGGGGCGATGGGCACCAGTGCGGAATACGCTCCTTCGGCTGGAGCAGAACCCTACTTGGTGTTGACCCTGGGCCCCGGTACCTCTCATGAATGCATCTTTTTTCGGGCGGTCCCTCTGACGACCTCAGCAGACGGTGACGATGTGGCCTGGTTTGTCACAGGCCCGGCACATTGCAGTTTGGAATCAGCAATCCGCGCATTGATGGCAGCCTCCACAGCCCATGCATCTAAGGAACGGAACTGCCTTCTCAGCTGTCTGCGGTCCCTTCTCCAGGTGATTTTGTAGCTGGTCGACTTCATAGTCTGAGTCGGTATCTTCCATCTGCTCGGCGTCCTCATGGACGGCTTCGGTGCTTGGCGCGCTTTTGGAGGGCCACAGCGCTTTAATGGCCACAGCGCTTTAATGGCCCCTCCAGTGGCTTCATCTGCCATGACCTCCTTCAAGGCCTCCTGTAACGAGTGAGTCTCCTTCGCGAACAGTTTTGTTGGAGCTCTCGATTCCGGAGTCCGCAGACTAAGCAGTCTCATAGTCACTCCTCCAAATCTGCGAAATTGCAGAGTCGGGATGCTTGACGAAGTGCAGCAATGAATTCTGTTGCAGATTCGCCGGGTTGTTCCTCCCACTGCTCAAAAGCTGTGCCTCCATGTTATAACGTATAACTTGGGCTCGAAGTGGTCTCACAGCTTTTTTTTTCAAGTCCGCGTAGGTGATTGACTCGAGTGGCGCCAGGGCGACCAAGTTCTCTGCAATGTCGAAGGTGGTGGGGCCGCACATGCAGAGGAGTGTCGCGGCCTTCAATCCATCTTTGGCGACCTGTTTGGCATGGAGGTAATTTTCAATGCGGGAGATATAGGATGCCAGTCTCTCCAGGTTAGTTACGTTGAATTCTTCGAGCTTCCCAACCTTCGCCATGGTGGCTTGTTTTTTAATTCAATGCCTTGCGCTGCTGGCTTCTGTGTAGGTCCTAGGACGGATCCTTAGGGCGTGGTGATCTCCAGCGTGGCTTGCTGGCAGACCGAGGGGGGAGCACAGTTCCTGTCACGCTCTGTTCTGACTTCACCCCCTAGTGACTTCAAGCTCCCTCAATGAAGCAGCACATCCCATCCTCATCGCCACTCTTATATCTTCGGTTCTTTAAGCATTGAACAAGGCAGCGTTGAAACAGCAAACAAGTTTATTAACTCAGAACAGAA